AGTTTGACTGTGTCTCAAAATAAAAGAAAACCCAGGCAGGGAGCCAAGGATGGTGATATCCATCTGTCATCCCAGCACCTGGGAGGTACAGATAGGAGGTTCAGGAGTTCAAGGTCATTCTGAACGACATAGTGAGTTTGAGGACAGCCTAGATACATGAGACTATGTCTCAAAAAAGTAAAATGAGGACTGCAGATGTAGCTGAATGGTAGGTAGAATATTTCGCTAGAGTACAAAAAGCTCAATAGGTTCAATACTCCTTTAGCAAACAAACCAAACCAAACAAGTGTGGTGGCACACAACTGCAACCCCACGATTCAATGCGACAGAGGAAGGATGGCAAGTTTGAGGCAAAATGGGCTACATAGTAGGAAGGAAAAAAAAGTTTGGGCTGGCCTGTAGCCCAGTGACAGAGCACATACATAGCATGCATACAGCCTTGAGTTGCATCCTAACACCAACAAAAACAGGAAACATGAAGTTAAAACTGAAGTGATGGGTTGTATCCTACTGGTTCATCTCTACCTTCATTTAGTTTGGTGTGTTACTGTTTAAGAACACAAGCAAAATATGAATCTCATTAAAAACACCAAAGTAAGCATTCTTACCTCCTGTGTAGTTTACCTGACATTTCCATGTTTCCATCCAGGAGGACTAAGCATTGCCTTTGATTAAGTCAGAGATTCTCAGTGAGTCCTCCTAGGTACCCTTTACTAAAGAAGAGTAAATGCAGAGAGACATTGGGCCCACATCCCTGATGAACCACTCGGAAAAAAAGAAAAAAAAATATGTGCTTCCTTTTGAAGCCTTATTTTTTTACCTGGAAGAAAAAAAGTCAGTGTTTATATTGTATTTTATAAATCTGTCGTAGCATACTTAAAATATTCTGTGGTCAATTCTAGAAACATTGAACTGATCATGCTCAAAACGTACTTGTAAATATGCATGTACATATGCCCCTAATGAAACTATGTTCACATGTGGTTCTGTCCCAGTGTCCTGTCACACTTCGTAACGTTTAAAATGACACGCAAAAAGTAAAAAAGAAATCCAGAGGCAAGTGTGGTGGTCCATGCCTGAAATCCCAGTATTCTGGAGGGTGAGGCTGGAAAGCAAATTTGAAGCCAGCTGGAGCATCATATGGCATTTTTAAAAGGAATTTGAGTTTGGGCTTCCCACCTGTTGCTAATTCCCACCTCTGTTCAGCAAGCAGGAGGCCTCCACTTCCATCATCTGCTTTCCTTTGTCCCCACCACT